GGGGCCTTCCCTTCCCAACAGGAATAAGGTTGGGGGTGAGGGAGAGGCAGTGCAGGTCAAGTCTTAGACCTGGTGGCTTCAAACTCATGCTGGGCACATGTGCATGTGTGCCTAAAATCCTGAGAGGGGAATGGAGGAGGAGGGATTGCAGTGTAGCCATGACTGGCTGCAAGGCAGGATTCACCCACTGGGAGGTGAATTTTTGCTTTCTGTCTCTCTGTTTTTCTCTGTCTCTCTGGTTAGCACACAAGTCCTATAGCAAACATCTCTCTTTAAAAAAAAAAAAAAAGAACAAAAACTTGACTGTTACACAGCCTGTCTGCACACATGCCCGTGAACCTGGAATAAGCCCTGACTGACCATCGTTTCCTTCAATGGGTTCCTCACATCAGAGAAGCTTCTCCACAGTCGGAAGGTCTCAGAAGCAGACCAGAGTTGACTGATCACTCCACAGAGCACCCCAGACTTGTCTGCCCAGATGACCTCTCCCCAGCCTCTCAGCAACTAAAGACGGAGAGACCAAGACTTCCGCCTTAGATCCCTGAGCCATTCAGTACAGTTTTCGTATATATTTAAGTTTATTTATTTATTTCTTCTGTGAATGAGAGAGAGAGCGCGCGTGCATCTTGACAAGGTCTTGCTACCTACTCCCAGGCCTCAGCCAGCCCTGAATTGTGCCCGGCACACTCAGCAAGGTCTCCAGATGCAAACCTCGGACCTTCCCGTGTGGGTTGGCCTGGTGGAGCGCTGTGTTTCGGCGCTGGGCCCGAGTCTGGCTCCTGGTGTTTGTATTTTGATAACAGTGCTTTAATTGCTACTCACCTGCTCAAGTTAACTCCCCAGTGGGGAGGCTCTGGGGCCTGAACTGGCTGCTATTGGGGTTCACAGTAAGAGCAGCTCATGCCTGCCCTGTGAGACAGAACACCAGCAGCCATAAGAACACATAGCCGTCAAACACCTGAGGGTTGAGTCTGTGCGAAGCACCGCGGTAAGCATTTCGCAGGCATCACTTCCTGCTGTCCTCGGGCAACCTCGTGGAAGCCCTGTTCTCCATACAAACACAGAGAGGGTTGCCCGTGTGCTTAGGGGCACCGTGGACGCACACTTGGGGTCCCACAGGTGGGAGTCAAGTGCAACTGCCCAACTCCCTGTGTGCCTGAGGGTGAAGTACGTAACTTAGGCACCCTGAGTTTTCTCCTTCATAACGGGACTCTGGGTGCTCCGGGTCTGCTGCACTTCCTGTCCGCATGAGTCACAGGATCCATGCTGCTGTGTCTCCTCCACCTCAGGGACCTAGAGGTCGCCTACCGTGCAGATCTGAGATCATCTACAATTCAAATCCTGAGTCGGGCAACCTGACTTTCCGTCCAGCCTCTACCTGGTTTTAAGCAGTGGGTCACTTGATTTTTCAGTCTCATCATGTAGCCAATGAAGATGTCAACACAGACTCAACCTATTTAGTGGGTAGGATTAAAGATAGGAAGAAAGGAAAGCTGTACAATCTCCTAAAAGGGCCAGCAGGTGGTGTAGTGGTTAAGACACTGGACTCCCACATGGTCAACCACGATTCGAATCCTGGGCCCAGTGACTTGAAATTCACGCCAGGTGCATAGGCATGCGTGCCCATTATCCCAGGAGGAGAATGGATGAGAAGGGACTGCAACACGGCCATCTCCCCTGGGGGATCGTTTCTCACTTTCCCTGTCACTGTCTTTCTCAGTCTCTCTCCAACAAGTACACGGGCTTTTTTG